CAATCTCACATTTACAACACCAAATATTATTTAATCACTTATAAAATAAGATAAAGATTTTGAACTCGGAAAAGAATTACAGTTTGTGTTCTGATCTCTTCCAGCCCAAGATCTTGAAAAAAAATCAAGCCCAGCCCAATAAGAAACTGTCTGGCTTCATATAGACGTTACAGCGCAGTTTATCCTAACCCTAATTGATAAAGTTTCTCAACCCTTTTCAACAAATAGCCTCTCTCTTTTGCATAAATCTCTCCGTGGGAATCAAACCATGGAGCTGTTCGGCACTTATGTGCCGTTCCCCGATTTGGAAGACCAGAAGCCGTGGACCTACCGAACCAGTCCTGAACCGTCCGGAGAATTCTGCAGTAAGATCTAGTATGTGGATTAGATATGTGTCATGGTAAATTTCTAATCTGATTTATTTATTCCGTCTCGTCGCAGATGCTAATACAGGCGTCTTTTGGGATGTCCGGGACTATCGAATCCCGGATCTCTTCAATCCTGATCTTGTGAAACAGAAAATCATAAAAGCTGTTCTTGATGCTGGTTATACTGGGGATGTGTCAATCCTTCTTTGGATTCCTAAGAATAAGGACTCGGACCATCTGCTCCAACTTTATTCAGCTGCCAATATCCCAATCACTTTCGTACCGAAAGGTGAATTCTTTTTACTTTATGTGTATGACTTTGATCTACATATTTTCGTTCGTTGTTATGCTTAAGTCTTTAATCTACATCTCCGTTCCGTTGTTATGCTCTACTCGTCCAGATGATGAACTTGAGATGATTCATAATATTGTGGTGGGCATTCTTCTGTGGTCATTGGATAATCCTGAACCAGCAAATGTGATGGTAGTCTCAGAACACATCAGCTACGATATGCTAGAGAGCCTTGATATATTGCGTGGTGATAAAAATTACAGGGTTCTCATCTCAAATCCTCTAGAAGACTGTTATACGGATATTTTTCCTTGTGGAAGTTTGGATTGGCTTGTCAAAAGCCTATCACCACCTAACAAGAAGAAGCGGCCGATAGCGGATATTTCTGATTCTGAGGGTTCTGACAACAGTACCTATCTGGTGGGTGTCAATCCCAGCCCGATGAGATACTCTGCCGAAACCTCTGAAACCATGTGGAGTGAATTCCCCCCTCCACCCCCAGGATGTGATGGTAAGATCTATCTCCTTGTTGAAGTTATTTGCAGATTAGATTTCATCTAAATTTCAATGGATCTATCTTATTGTGTTCACCATCAAACTCGCAGGGCGTGAGGTATTCGTCCTATGGGACGTTGACGATCCCTCAATCCTTGTACGGGTCGATAAAGGTTATTATGGGGACGAGTCAATCTGTGCTTTCTATGATATGGGTTCGGTTAACTCTCATCTGTGTGAAATGTTTACCTGGTCGGGAATATTTTTCCAAGCAATTGGGCCAGGTGAATTCCTTTATTTCTCTTTAATTTTCTACTTATTTCTACGTATAAATGATTGTTAAACTAACTAACTACCTTGATATATGATATACTAGTCCGAGGTGTTAAAACTGTCAGATCTAATGTCGTGGCGTATACCACTCTTTTCCCGGTAATGAGCCCTCACGCTCGTGCTAATCCATCATGTGTGCTGGTACTCTCAGAAGACAAGGGCTTCCAAACTATTGTTGATGCTCTGAAAAGGCACCACTTCCAAGCCGGCTTATTTAAGCCTAATGAATTCCTGTGCTTCAAACCAGAAGAGCAGCAGTGTGACTCTTCACAAGCAGTAGAGCAGACCGAACTCTGTACTTCCTGTTCTGAAGACTAGTAACTTGTGTGCTTTTGCTTTCGGCCTGCTTTTACAATGCGACTATGCCTCATCTCTCTCTTCAAAAGACTAGTAACTTGTGTGCTTTTGTTTTCGGCCTGCTTTTACAATGCAGAGTATGCCTCAAACTGCATTTTCAAGACTATTTCATGTGTATAAACCTTTCTTCTTCATTATGATTTGGTATCTTATATGATGCTTACTTCTCCTCGTTACCAGTATACTATTATTCACTCTCTTCACCTCCCAACTCCCACCTCTTTAAAAAAAGCTTTATATCCACATTGAGTTGTGGTTTGATTTTTAATAATTTTAGGTCAACTCTTTATGTCCACATATAAGTTGTGGTTTGATTTATAAGAATAGCATATCAGCTCTTGTGAATATGAATTATCGTCCTTCTCACTGTTACTCCCTAACATTTGAATCTCATTGTTTGCTGATACCCTTATTGATTCACTAGTATTAGACCCGCGTGTAGCAGCGGATTTTCGATAAAGTACAACTGTGTTTATGTATTGTAATTGTTACTAGTAATACTAGGTGATTATCCGTGCATACGAGCGGGGTTTGTTTTTTGTTCTGAGAGTATCTCTCACCGCGTTTGTTCTACGAACATAAAAGACAATCGTTTATATAATCTATAAGTGGGCTGAATCAAACTCATTTCTTTGCAACCTTGAACATTCAAAGTTACCACTACACTCATTTCTTTGATGTGCATAAATTACATGTTGAAACTGATACCCTTAAACACAAGATAACATTATGAAAGCTAAGACTCGAGCCATCGGTTGAGCGAATCATATGATCCTAGCATTTCAATTGTTCATACCACTATCCATAAACAACGAAAACATTTTCAAAGAATATTATTACCCCGGTTAAAATTACGATGTGAAACTGTTACGAGTTTTGTAAGTGATAAATCTCAATCTAGAAACTCACTGAGAGTTCGAAGATAGGGTAAATCAAAGCCTAGGAGATAAAGATTATCCCGAAGAGCTGAGATTCAGTGTTGATGGAAGAAGATGAGGATCGATAGAAGGAAAGAGATTGAGAAGATAATATGTTTGTTCTTTGATAGATTTCCCAAAATGGCCAAAGAGCCTTACAAATACGTTTCACATGATTAAACCGAATAACTAAACCAAGAGATTAAGAATCATAAACCGATTAACCAAGGGAATTCCTATAACAATACTTCCCTCTTCAGAGCATCCTTGTCCTCAAGGATGGAAGGCTTGATAATTGGTGATGAAATCTTCGTAAAATCCCATGAATGAGCTTGATCTGGAGGGTGCTCTTTCCTGGCTTTGGTGATAGCAATGTTATGACATTGCTTTTAACAGATTCTTCGCGGTCTTGTATCATTGCAATGTGTGGACAGAGCCAAACTCTTTGTGGGAATTTGTTGAACAACAACGTCTCCTTTGAGGACCATCTCCATCACGCCAAACGCTTTCAGATTCCATAACAAATACCAGATGATACTTTGCTTAGCAGGAAGTACCACATGATACTTAGCTTCACTTGGAGTGGCTTACGAACAACAACTAATCTTTGACAAACGTTATTAATCATTCATTAGAGACAAATCGCCATTTGTCACACTTTTCAAGTGACTTCACACAAGGAGCTTGCCATTCTTGATTTTAATTTGTGTGCCTCTGACTTTCCTTTGAACTTGAACCGCAAAGATTTTGACCACTTAGGCTTCTTCTTCTTCCTAATGCTTAGCAATCCTTGTTGTTCCACCATAGAGTTTTCATTCACAAAATCTTCAACCAATGAGATATTCACAAAATCCAAAACATTCTCAAAAATCAGGGCAGTGTCCGTAGCTTTGGTTGGTGATTTATCCACTGATTCCTTGTCAGTTTCTTCAACAGCAAGTTCTACCAATGAAACTTCCAAACCTTGAGAACTAAATGTGAATCTTATACTCACAAAACCAATTATCGGCTAAGAAGACAATATGAATGTTGTCTTCACAATCACATACGGCTATAGATATTGATATCTTTAGCTAAATATTAATAAAGTACATAAGTTGAATACTATATGTATATGTACCTAGGTGTTTTCCAATTTTTTTTGTACTATATAATA